CCATGGCCTCGCCTACCTCCATTACTACAGGTAAGTGTCCAACCTCCAAGGTTATCCTTCCAAGATGCTATGTCTCTCCAAGGAGTTTTCATGACACATTGGGTGACTGTGCATGGTAAGTCATATTTATCAAGGAGCATCTGAAGTGCAGCTACTTTCTGGTTAAGAGCTGGACCATATGCTTTAAGTTAAACTAGATGGGAAGTAGGACTGACATCCTGGTGTGAAATAAGGGGAACAGGAAAAGAAAGCTACCCAAGGTACTGCCTTTTCATCTGCGTACTCCCAGTAACCATAACCCACCCTGACACGGCAACACTCGATAAATTTCTATCTAATGAATTAAATATCTTTTATCATTACCATTCCATCTGCACGTGGCAGAAGCATGCCTAGAAACTCAAAACTCGTTACTCCCCCTAGAATGCTCTTTCCGCTATCACAATGGAGTCAAGGAGGAGAGATCAACATAAAACATCTAGAACACTCGGCCCACGTAAGGTGAAAACTTTGCAGCTTTCCAGGGAGACATGATATTGGAGAGACGGGGCTGAATTACAGAGGGCTCTGAATGCTGAAATGAGGCACATACACTGCTATACCACGGTCACACAGTAAACTGAAGAGCCGCAACTTGCCTCCAAGCAATCTGGCTCAGACTACGCGATCCTGACCGCTTGGCGACACTGCTTCTCGGCGCTGGCCGGGCGGTATAAATCGAGAGTGCGAGAGATATTAGTAAAATGGTCTCCCAAACCCCCTTTCTATTCTAAATCCCACTTCTGAACTGGCGTTTGTGATGAGATTCCCTGGGCCCAGGCGGAGCCGTGGAGCAGAACCCCATGCGACTACTGCAAAACTGAATAGAAAAATTATTAAAACGCCTTGCACGACATCTGGCACGTAGTGAACGGTCCCTACGTGTCCGTTACTAGTTCGGCTCTGGGGCAGCTGCAGAGGAACAGACTCAGGGAAGAGGCAGGGCAGGGGGCGGATGACGCCCCGTCCTACCCAGGCACCGTTTGAGAAAGCGCAATTCCCCCACAGGGCACCCACGTCCCCGCCCCCCACTAAGGAGCCCACTCCGCAGAGTCCCTCCGGGGCCGCGCCATCCCGGTCCTCACCTGCCGGCCCAATGTACTTGACTACCCCCTGGGTCTTGAACACCTCCCGGGCGGCCAGCAGCGCGTCCTCACGGTGCGCCGTGTAGAAGTCGCCCCGGTCGAAGAGGCGCACCGTAGTGGTCGGCTTCTCCGGCATTCCCTGAAAGAAGCGCACAAAGCCAAACTCTGCCGCGCTCTCCAGCTGCAGCGTCTCCTTCGGCTGCACCGCCATTTCGGAGTCTCTCCTAAGCCTCTGGAAACTGCACGACCCCGCACCCACTAAGCTGTTTCCCGCCTCCCCTCCCCCGCCCCCCGTGCGGCGTCGGGCCTTTGAAGCCCGCCCAATCAGAGTCCAGAGTTGCGCTTCGGTGGGTGGGAGCCCGTCGCCGCAGCCAATCACAATCGGACGCGGCCCAGCTTCCCGCGCACGCTGGTGACTGTCTACTGCGCATGCTTGAGCCTAGGTCGTGCGCCGACCCTGGCGGATGCCCACGCTTAAAAGGATTCAGTTCGCGTTTTCTCTGCTGCACAGGCTAGAAACCCAGGTGAATGGGTAGCAAGGGTAGGCGGTCAGGTGGGACGGTCAGGCAAGTTTTGCGTTTATTACGTACCCGGAAGCGGGGGAATGGAATCGGAAAGAAACTTGAAGACAAGGAAAAACTAGCCTTCTTTTCCATCCCAGTATTTTTTAAAACCTGCGCCCCTTTCTCCCCCAACTGCCACCATTTTTCTTTTTTAAGCAAACTGCCAACATCAAGGTTGCAGGTTTTTTCTCCACAACCTCCTTATTGCTCTGTACTATATAAATTATCTCTCATTAAGTCCACTTCTTGATTGATTGATTCATTCGAAAATACATATATAGCCTGCTGTATGCCAGACCCTTTTAGGATCTAAGGATCACTACTGAAAAGAAAAACCATTGCGTTTGTTCAGCTTACATTCTAATAACCGAGTTCAGATAATACAGGAAGTAAACTAAATGGTATGTTAGAAGATAAGCGTTTAGGTTAAAAAAAAAAAAGATAGGAAAGGGGAAGAGGGGTTGAAACTTTTCAAAAATGTTAAGCAAAGACCTGAAAGAGGTTCTGCACAGTTACCTGCCTTAGAAAAGTATAGCACTTTCCTGTTTGGTTCACCCTTCACCCTTGGATGCAGACCCAAACCCAGCAAGTAGAATTACCCTGGGGGTTTTTCAAACTAATTCCGGGTCCCATCCACATCCAATGGGTTGGAACTTCTGAAGGTGGGGTCTTGAGATCTTTTAAAAAGCTTCCTAAGTGTGCCTCATAATTCGCTCAGTTTAGAAATCACTGGCCTACAGGTTAAAATTCAAATCCCTTCTGAAGCAGAAAATGTTTGGAATCATCTGACTGCTGACTACCTTTCCAGCAACATCTCCTACATCAGCACTCCTACAGTGTTCCCTCCTCTCATCCAAACTCTATGATCAAGGGCAATAAACTCCCCCTTGCCTCTCAACATGTGTGACTCAAACATAAACTTGTCTCTCTGCTCTGGAATGGCCCTTCCTGGCTCTTCCAGGACCTTTGTGTAGCAAACTCCCAGCCATCCTTCAGTCCTCAGCTCAAAGGTCTCAGAGAAACCTGCCCAGTCTCCCCACGTATAATTAGCTGCATTATCTTCTGGGGTACCATCTTATTCATCATATTTGCTGCATTGTTTTAGAAATGTTCAGTCTCTCTTACTAAACACTTGTAAAGGACAGGGATGGGTATATTTATAGTTAATAATAATGACTAATGTTCATCAGCATTTAGACTCCTTGGTGTTTTCATTATTTTCAGATTTACTGTTTTAATCTTTGCAACTCTAAGAATTAGGAACTATTATTTTACAATAAGAAAACTAAAACTTGAAGGTGTGAAGTCACTTGCCTTATCACAGAGCTAGTGAGAGCTAGAGTTCAGTCTTGTTTCAGATTCTGTATGCATAACGTGTGTGCCATAGGGCCTGGCACATACTAGGTGTGCAAAAAATGTATGTAAATGAATGAGCTGTACGTCACAATAACCGCTTCTATATTATAACCTGATCTTCAGTGTCATTCTGTCTCTCCCCTATTTCATATTCTAAATTGCGAGTTCCGAAGGAGACAGCATGGTAATTAGATTATCTACTTCTGGGGTTCATGTGGGGATCAAATGAATTAATAGCTTTGAAAGTATTAATCTTTTGTAAAAAGCTTTTACTGTTTATCATCACACCCCCAGCCAGACTTTTTTTCCCCTCTTATCAATTCGGTCTATTAATTCTAAAAATAGAATTCCCATACTTGCCCTGATCTGTCTGAAGTCAGATCTGTTTAGCACTCAGATACTAGAGGACAATCAAAGTAATGTGAAGGGCTATAGAAAATGTCAAAACATAAGCTTCTCAAGGAAATTTAAAAAAGACAGAGTTTACAGAGTGGGATGTGAGGGCCTTATAGGAGAGAGATTTTATTAATCTCGGTGAGGGCAGTGGATTTTATTCTGGTCTTTAAAGATGAACAAGGTTGAAAAAAATCCCTTTCAGGTTATGAGCTAAACACCCCCCTGCAGAATATTTGTGCAGTTTAGGGGCATAAATCAGTGGAGCTTTTTAAAGTGGTGGTAGGGGTAGGACATGTTTTAAGATGATGGGAAAGAATTGTGAGATGATGTTCTATTACTGAAACTGTTGTTTGTTAGGGAGGAAAAAAACTTTACCTTCTTAGATTGAATGACTAGGAGCTTGTAAATTAAACTGACAAAAGGCAGATTAACAGGAGAAAAGGCACACAATTTTTATTAGTATTTATGTGCATATAAATATCTATTCCTATTATCTTTAAAGTTCTCATTACTTTCTACTGGCTATAGTAATTTCTATCACTGCATAAATTGCCACAAATTTTGCATCTTAAGACAATAAACATTTAATCTCAGTTTCCAAGGGTCAGGAGTCCAAGCATAGCATAACTGGGTCTTTTACTCAAGATCTCAACACTGGTAAAGATGTCCACCATGGCTTGATGTCATCTGGAACTGGGGTCCTCTTCCAAGCTCACTGGTTGTTGGCAGAATTCAGTTTCTGGGGTTCTGGGACCGAGGCCCTCAGCATCTAGAGTTGGAAGGCCTGCTGTCTTCTAACAGGAGACCCTTTCCACAACAGGGGTTTGCTTTAAGGCTAACAGAGCGCTTCTGCTGTTTCCACTTCTTTTCTCTTTATTTTAGACACTCTTAAGACTCACCTGATTAGGTCAAGCCCACTCACAGTAATCTCCCTTTTGTCCACTGATTAGGATTCTTAATTGCATCTGCAAAATCCCTTCACCTCTGCCACATAATGGAATTTATTTTGGCAGCCCATCGTATTCACAGGCCCTGCCCATACTTTAGGGGAGGAGACTACACAGGGCATATACATCAGGGGTATGAAATCTTGGGGTCCATTCTAGAATTCTGCCTACTATAGAAGGAATAAAAATCACGTTTAAATCTACTTTTTACATATTCTTTAATGTTCTTTTCACATTTTTAAATTTTCTATCAAAAGGAAAATATTTCTTTAACTTCATATAAAATGTATTCGTACTATAATTATTCATTTTATAAAATGTTGGAAATGTACTTCTAACCCAACCAACCATAGAATTCCTGGTTCACAACATTCTCCACATCTGCCTCAAGGTGTTAGGGTCTGCCAAAATGCCAATCTGTCTAAAACAGAATCTCAGATTCGTTCAGAATAAAACATATTTTTCTGTGTAGCAGTTACATGTTATACATATTATATTGAATATACAGGATTAGAAGTACTCATGCAAAATTAATTTTTAGTTAGCATTCAAAGCATTTCTTACCATATTATGTATATAATTAGGAAATTTGATTCAATATAGTTCAAACAAAATTAGGAAACTTTTAAAATGTTTTATTTTATAGTTCATAAAAAAGGTGTATATGTACAAGACTCGAAGTAAATAGGAAGGCAGGTTTTAATCACAAATGGATGAGATAGTAGTCATTCAAAACCTACTGTGGAAGCATATTTAATGGACTCTTCAGTGTTATGTATAAATAATTTTAACTATGCAGTCAAAGTTCTGAGACTAAAAGATTCTGGGATATCAGATCTCATATATATGACATTTGTGGTCAAATTTTAAGATTGGTAAAGTCAATTTCAAGCTACTTATATTTTGAATATAGGTATCACCATTACAAATATATGTCAACAAAAGTAGTCTTCAAAGATTTCTTTGTCTCACACTCATATATTTGTAATCTGAGTCCATTTGCTAATTTCCCTTCTTGTAGTTACTATTCAAATTACAGTATTTATCCACTGAGTTCCCTATGCATCTCGCCCATCTCCTTTATCTGAAATAGAAAAAAAAAAAAGAAAAAAATTTTAATAATTTTCCAATCTTTTGTTCATTCTGAAGTTAAAAAAAAATAAAGAGGAAAGCAAAATGACTTCCATATTCATAACTGTTTAAATAAAATTTTAAAAAAAGAAAGCTATATCACAAGGAAGCACACATTAAATGCATAATCCAAATTGCTATTTAGAGATAGGATGGCTAATGTGACAAGGGGAAGGCAGCAGGTAAGCTAGATCTTTAAGAATGGATAAGATTTTTATTAAATGTATACCATTTTTACATCTAAGAATAACCAATTTATTTTCTACTCTCAATCTTGTATTTTATATAGGTGAGGAAAGTGAAATTCAGAATTAAGTGACTAGTTCCAGGTCACACAATTAGTTATAGGCAGAACTGAGACATGGTGACAACTACCAGTTAACAAACATTTTGCTCTGTGGCAAGCATGGGACCAACACTTTACACAGATTACTTCGTTTATTCCTCATAACAGGTCTGTACTACTATCCCCACTTTACAGGTTAAGAAACATGGAGGCTTAAAGAAGTTAAATGACTTAGCCAACAAATAAGTGGTCAAAACTCAGCTCTACAATGCTCTTAATCACAACACTACATTGTCATTCTGACTTTCTATTATGATTCAGTTCAGGGACAGTTTCCTAAACTTGTGGTCACCAAACCACGTAAGCTAGATGACTGACTAGAGTATAGGAAGATAATGTTAGGACTTTATAGTTCTATTAGATTTCTTTCAATATTGTTTTACATTTGTTATTTGGTATAATACAAGTAAACAGCACATATACAGTTATAAACACACAAATGTACAAAAAGTGGTGGGTATACTGAAAATGTTATTGATAGGGTTCAGGGACAAGTGTTCATATCAAATGCCAAGTGACTGAAACACACTAGCAATCTCACACTGATTTCACACTAGTGTACATAACTAGTTAGTATACAATAGATTTACTAGGACACAGATAAGTCTATTTTTGATGACTGTTATTTCACTGGCATACAAAATGTCAGGTCATTAGTAACACTGAGTTTCTCTAATGTGAATCCACTACAGTATGCCTCTAAAAGATTCCACTAAACATAAAATAAAAATAATTGTAAGATTGTCCCTAAGACCTAAGACCCATACTATAAATGGACCCCAGTATAATTGAGACCTATCAGTGTCTAGGAAGGTACACTGATTATTAGGAGTAAGAGATTAAACAAGGGCCTTTTTACTAAGTAATCAGTTTACCTCAGCTTTCTCATACTTCGCCGTTCTGTTCTTTCTGGAAATAACCTGGATGGATGAAAAATAATTACTATTTTAGGATTGCTACCCAAACAAAAAGTTGGTCTGAAGTGACATACATGCTTTTAATGGATATAATTCCTATCTGAACAAATTTAAAAATCTATCTATAGACATTGTTTCTTAAATTAACATTTACTACTCAACTAAAAATAAAAAAAAGGACAGCAACCAGTGAAACGAACCAAAAAAATGTATAAACAATGAATTGTCTTTAATGAAATTTAACTGCCTGGTTTGCAGTCTTCTACCTCTTGTTCTATCCTAATACAAACATGTATAAACATATATCATGCAATATTTTTGCACAACTGGTATCATCATAGAAACTTTACCGGATCAAAACCTATGGATTGAACTTATCCTTTTTAATAGCTACTTTATTCCACAGCCCGGATATACCACAATTTACTCATCCACTCTCCTACTGACGTACGCTCAGGTTGTTTCCAGATTCACCCTTACTAGCAAAACTGGAATACGCAACCTTGACCATGCTTCCTTATGTACCTGTGCTTTCATTAATACAGGACAATTAGATTTCTATGATTAATCTTTCACATGTTAATTTGCCATCTAGAATTCCTCTTCTGTAAACTGTCTATCCATACCAGTTGACATCCTTTCTTTAGTTTCCTCATTAAGAATTCTTTACATATTATGCTTAATACCTTTGTTTTACATGAATATTTTCCCCCAGCCTATCAATGTTTTTTTTTTACCTTACAGTATATCTTGCTGTACAAAATATTTAATTTCAATGAAGTCAAATATATATCTTTTCCTTCACAAATTCCAGATTTCTTGCTTTACTAGGCTTCCTTTACCACAAGGTTATATAAATATTTCCTAAATTTTGAAATTTTAAAAACCTTTTTTAACACTTAAAAACATTTTTAACAATAATTCATCTGGATTTTGTACAACATGGGTGCAATGCCCAATTCCTTTCACATCCGTGTGCCCCAGGATGTGCCATCCACACACAGCTGGATAGTATGGTCAGCCCTGGTGGGATGAAATAGGAATTTTGTTTTCTTCCAAATGGACAACCAAGTGTGATAATTCCGATGACCTGAAAATGTAAGTTCCCATATATCCTCAGATCTATTTCTGAATCCTGTTATGTTTGTAAGATTTTTTGATAAAGCATTCTTATATTTCTAGAATAAACCCTGCTTGTTCAGGTGGTACATTCTTCTTCTGAAGCGTAGCTAAATTCTATTTGCTAATCTTGTATTTAGAATTGTTGCTTCATATTTATCATTTTTAACTCCTTTCTATCCTAACCTTAATTTGTGTTGTTGTTTCAATTCAGATTGATGACAACATAACTGACCTGTGAGATGCTCAGCTACAAGCTTTTCTCAGATTAGTATCCTTCTTTGCATCATAAGGTGAGTGTTTTATAAAAAAGGGGCTGATTCACTCACTTAAGAGAATTATAAAAAGATGAAGATTTTTGTTTCACTAATGTTTTGGAACATGGATGTAGCTTTTTCATATTGTCACCTTTTCTTGAAAGAGTATACCCTTAAATGAAATTTTACTTGTTCTATACGCACCAGCACAACGATTCCAGCAATAACTGCTATTGTCACAACCACAATGATAGCAATAATACCAGCTTTTAGACCCTGCATTGAAAATTCAGGTGGTTTTTCATCAACATAGTAAATTGCAGTTCGACTAGGATCCAGATCCAGCTGTTCCCCATCTACTCTTAGATCCATTTTCTTAGACTGGAACAAGGATTCATCTTTAACCTATAGTGAGGAGACAAGCAATTTAAAATATTTAAGAAAACCTGGCCACATGGAATTACATGCCAATTACAAACCAAAAGAACTGCTGCCAAGAATCTTCGTGGTTTCAGTGACAACAATCTCTTACTTTGAAACTTGAAAAAAAACTTTCCTATGGGAAATTTCCAAACATATACAAAAGCAGAAAGAATACTGTAATGAAGTCCCATGTACCTATAACCAGATTCAACCATTATAAATACATGGCCAATCTTATTTTATCTTCTTCCTTCTATCCGCCACCCTCCTTCCATAATATATTAAAGCGTAAACAAATTATGTCATCACAACAGTTATAAAGCATTTCTCACATAGCTGCTTATTCACGGAAATGATAATAGGGAAAAGCTATACACACAAACTAAATAACTACCAACGAGTTAATAGGTAAGAATTATGAGAAGATATTTTAGGCAAAACAATTTGATAAAAAGGTGTAAATATACAAATGAGTAAGAAAGGTGTATAAGAAAGGTACATGTGTGTGACAGGAAAGACAACATAAACTGCATCACAAGAATCACTTGGAGAATAGAGATATGGTTGATCTGTAAGTGGAGAAACAGATGATGAAAGGTCTTGAATCTACTAAGGCATGATAGATATTACATTTCTAAACAAAGGAATAAAATAAGGAAGATTATACTCACATCTTTTTCAAAATAATAAGCCACATCAGCTATGTCCACATCATTCTGAGTTTTCTGAGAAGAATTCTGCATCAGATCAATAGTGATAAGATCATTCTCATACTGGGGAAAGGGGTGGGAAGGAATTGAAAAACACATTTATTAAAAGTAATATAATCAAAATCATAAGAAAATATCATTGTTCAATAATCAGAACATTCAGTGTTTTTCTCTAACCTACATGTGTCATTGTTCCTTTCCATTAGTAGATAATTGAGTTTATCATTAATAATTACAAAATCTTTGAGAGGTCTGTAAATCTATCAAAGGGAAATCAGACAGCAATGGAAACAAAGGAAATTATAATGCATATTTTCTTTTCAAGGGAATTTTATATTCTTGAAAAGATTTTAAAACAAGATATTAAAGCACTGTTATTTGGTTAGAACTACTTTAAAACTAAAATGCTGAAGAAATTCAATCCAAAATGTAGCACGCATTTACCATGTTCTGCTTTTTGGAATCAAATAAGTATATTCTTTCCAAAAAGTCTTTTTAAAAATTACAACAGTTTTAATCTAGAAGAATTTAAGAATAAATTCAGACTGCCTTAAAAGAGTTCCATCACACTATTCAAGCATTTTCAACCAGAATTAGAAAAGTTAAGGAAGGACTAACTGGTTAAGGACTAGCTACTTAAACCAGAGAAGATGGGAGCTAGGTATCACTCTAAAGTAAGTATGTACCAAAAGCAATCACCGAGAAAGGTTTTCTAAGGTGAGAAAACTGGCATGTGTTAGGGATACTAAGAGATACTACATTTTCTTTAAGGGTAAATTGAGGTTTTCAAAGGCTATGGAAGAAAAACAAAAGAAGAAATTTGCTTTATTAAGCGCTCAAGGCTGATCAAATGCAGTTTAATCACTACCAAATATCAGACTCAAATCATACTACTCCACCAACTTTCTGCTAAAGCTTACTTAAAAAAAAAAAAATTACCAGAATATTTGTGATATATTTTGGATCCAGTTGATAACGAGTTGTGATTATCTTCTTGAGTGCACTGTAAATAATGAAAAATTGTGTTTTCAAAAAAAGTGGTTGTGCTACACAACATTAAGAAGCACTACTCTTTAAGCAAATGGCTCAAGGTCTAGAGTTGTCATTAACCAAACTTGTTGAAAATTTTAGGCCATTTTTCGACTATCATAATCATTGATTCAGGCTAGAATCATCCATTGATGCTAAATTGTTGAGTTCCACTTTGATTAGAAATACGGGTATCAAGTATCTGCCCACTGATTATATTTATTAATTAAAAAGAAGAAATGGTAACCGAATAGTGGAGAAACCTGGCAAGCACCACCTTAACCACAGTTAACACTAATAAAGGGACAAGCTGACATCACGTACCTCCTGATATAAAGTACTTAGGAGCACATAACATCACTTAAATAGTTTTTCTGTGAAAAATGTATAACCTGTACTTAATTATGAGGAATCAGTCAAATCCAAATTTGATGGACATTCTCTAAAACAACTTGTTCATTCTCTTCAAAAATATCAATGTCATGAAAGACAAAGACCAAAACAGTATTCCGTATTAAAAGAGACTAAACAATCATAACAACTAAATGGAATGCGTGATCTCAGACTGGGTCCTGGATCAGAGGATAAAAAATTGCTACAAAGAATAATATTGGGAAAATTGGCACAATATGGTATAACATTAAATTTCCTGAATTTGATAACTGTATAGTGGTTATGTAAAAGAATGCCTTTTGTTTCTACGAAAAGATACACTGAAGTATTTAGGGGTAAAGGAGCATGGTGTTTACAACTTACTCTCAAATGGTTCTAGAAAAAAATATTTATACATGCTTAGATAAATACAGAAATAAACACACATATGCATACATACATACACATAAAAAAATGAAAATGTGGCAAATGTTCATTTGTGAATCCAAGTAAAAAATATTACAAAAATCTGTATTACTCTCGCAATTCTATTTCAAAATAAGGTTAAAATTATGTATGGTGTCTTATTTTTCAGAAATATGAAAAAGCACTGAGACAGTTTTAGTTTTTCTAATAGTATAGGATGGATGAGTCAAGCACCAACTGTACAAATATAATGTATTTAATAGCACTTACGTCTGTAAACTTTGAATATCATAAGGTTTTTCTCTTGTTCTGTGTTTTAGTTCAATGATAATCCAGCTGTAAAGTAAAAAGACAGTATTATAACAACTGAGTATTATAACAACTCAAACTTTTATATTATTTTCCTCATAAGTTAATAATAAATGTCCCAAGTGGAACAACCGTAGAGTTAACAAAAAGGATTTATGTAATCGATATGTCTTTAATTTCTTCCCTGGCCCTCGTACATCTTTCATAAAGAACTCATCCAGGAGGGAACACTCTAACACTGACCCTCTGGCCTCTGGCCACAACACACAAGGTCATGTGAAGTCAAGGCTTAGTTGGTCACATTGGGCTACGTTCAAGTGAAGACACAGAAAGATATTGAGAGAAACAGAGAAAAGTCACCTTGAAGCTCGAAAAGACAGAAGCATACAGCGTGCCTGCCTCGGTTCGTGCCTGCTTTGGTCTTGATATCTTTCTAGTTTCTAGCCCTTTCTAATAAATTCTTTTTTGCTTATGCTAGCTTGAGTGTGTTTCTGTTCCTTTTCGTTACATAATCCCTAAGACAACCATATCTCACTTTAAAACATAAATGAGTAAACACATAGTTAAAATCATTCACATACATTTCATACTAATCCAACTTTAAAATAGTAAGTGTTAAGTAATAATATAAAAGGAAAATTATGTTCAGTATGCTACCATAAGAAAAAAATTAAAAATATATTGCTAGTAAATTTATAAAATATCTCTGGAAGGTTAAGGAATAAACTGGTGACATCAGTTCTATGGAGCTAAACTGAGTAGCTAGGGGATTGAGATGGAGACTTTTCACTGTACACCCTTTTCTCTTTTGAACTCCAAATCATGAAATCAAATTACATATTCAAAAATAAGTTTAAACGAATCTGAAAAACATGAAAAAAATACAGGCAGCCCAACTCACTAGGTCCTCACTCGTTCAGAGCAGGATTTTTCAGTGTCTTTATCCGTTCTTCTGACACCAGCAGTGTTCACACACCAGCACGTGGTGGTGCCATTGCACTGCTTGGCTTTAAAAAGCCCATTCTCATCACAGTCTGGATCGTAGAGCCCGTCATTATTTTGGATAGCATCTTCAGGTTTTAGTCTTCTCCCCAACTTTGAGTGAGACATTTCTGCCTTCATCACCAAACATTTGGTAGCCACTGCAAAGAAAGCTTAACGTCAAACTGAAAAATAAATGCCGTTTTATCCTTAAGGGAAAAAAAAATTTAATTTAATTCCAAACTCCCAAGGCCAGAGATTACTGTAGGCTTATCTTCCACAGTCGCGTTCTAAAGATAAGAAGCTTCATGTATGAGTAATTTAGACGAAATAACATGATTCAGATTTGAGCCAGTAAAAGGCTTCCCAACTCAAAACATGTCTGTTAAAGAAATGTAAGTCAAAATAAAGTTTAAGGCAATGAGGATATTCTACTCACATTTTGAGCAAATGACAGAATGTTGTGTACCAAGTGAAATACAGTGGCATTGACCATCTCTGTTCTCAGAGCAGTTTGCGGTCAGTTTGTAGTTTTCACAGATACATTCTAAAAAATTAAAAAAACATTTTAAAATGTGAATCCAACTATCAACTCTGGTGTCCCACCTAAATTATATTTTGACAATAAACTCCAAGTTACAAAGCCTTAAAAAGTGGTCCTGAAATATTTTATTTTTCGGCTATAATTTGAGTGGCTGACACTAAACAGTTTGTATATATTATATAAAAATATAGTCTAATTTGCACGCATTCCAGTTTTGATTTTTTAAACCAAGAACACAGCCTTCCAAACATCATATTCAGCTTTGCCTTTATGAGACTCCCAGTGTCAGCTCCTTCCCTCCTCCCTGTTCTACTGAGATAAACCTGTCATTCAGTCTTTTCCCAAAATCAACAATTCCAATTCTAGGATTTGTGAATAGCTCACTCCACCCCTCATTTTCTTAATAAGAGATGCTTGCTTTGGGTCTCAATGGGAACATATTCAACCCTTGGACTATACTGTATCTTAGAAAAATTGTACTTTCAAGTGAATTTGGGGGCACCTCTATATGTGTTTCCTAACTAAACTAAATAAACTCTGGTACTCAATTTTGAAAGCAATACTAAGCTGCCCATCCTGAGTATTGATGTCAGTTTAACAGTTACACCCTTTACTATCTAAAGTTTACCTTAACTTCAAATTGGCAAGCCCTCCTCATTCTTTTTATTTGTTGAGCTGAGAGTGCAATCATTAAAAACAAAAACAAGTATAATCAAAGAATTTTAATATTGATCCCTCATGTACCAAGTTGGCTTTAACTTTTCTGTTTAAATTATAATCAATATGAACCACCTATATAATCTGACCAGCACTGAACTTGATACTGGGGTCACAAAAGGGGAAGAAAGTACAGTGGCTGTCCTCAAAAAGTTCAAATCTTATGCAGCACTATACTAAACTTGCTCAAAGCATCTTTTTCATGCCCAATGTGAAATTTAACAAACCAATCAGGTTAAGTAAGACTTTCTGAACACAGGCCTATAGCACTTATCATCACTTTAAAGCCATTTAAGTATTTATCCCCAGACAGAAGCTAGAAAATCACGACTTGGTTAAACAGCATTATTTTAAAAGTGTAATGAATTAGGCCGTGCCCTGCTGGTGAGGGTTATAAAAGCCTTTCCAGAAATCTTTAGCCAATTGTCATGTCACCTCTAGCCACCATCTTACAAATCTTACTAGCAATCAAGATGTGTATCACAGAGTAAGAAAAACTGGAATCGAACTACATGTCTGACACTTGTATAATGGTGTGACTTTCCAATCTATAGATTTGTTCTGTCACCATTTAAATTGTTTTTCAAGACTAAAGAAAATGGAAAAACTCTGGATGTGATGTAGTGGTGGTGGGAGGAATCAGGATATAAAACTATATGTTTAGGCTTAGGATAATGTTCAGAGCAGTATCTACAAGAAAAATATACCCAAGTATAATTAATTATAGTATTCTCTCGAAGTGGCCGGATTATGGTTTTTTTACTCTTTCCGGTTATCGATGTTTCTGGGTTCCCTTGGCAATAAATTTGGCATTACTTATATGATCGTTAGAAAAAGGAAAACACCCGCATGCCTCGTAGTCAAGGTCCAGGAGGGCCTTCTAGCACGCGCAGGTGAGTAGCGGCCCCGGCGGTCTCCCCGCAACCAACTGGCCCCGCCCCGAGACCGACATCCGGGACCCGTCGCAGGTGCCCCAGGAGGGGCGGGCCAGCAAGTCGACGCCGCAGATTCCCGTCCCAGCGCGAGCTGGTTTCGGCCACTCCGGAACCCCCAGTGCGCTCCGGCCCTCGTCGCACACTCAAGAGACCGAAGAATTCCCGGACGTGGCCATTCCGTTCACTGTCTGGCCCTCCGCTCCTTACCGGGGCCATTTCCCTAGAGAGGAGTGCAAAGCGGCCAAGCGAGGATGCTGCCTCCGGCACTCGCGCCTTCCCGCCGCCTCCCCGGCGCCGTCCCGTCTCCAGGCTGGAAGGCGCTGCCGCCCGCCCCTTCCCCACAATCTCTGTCTCAGGCGTCGGAGGCCAACACACCCCTCACCCCGGCCTGGCCAACCCCACAATTCCGTTTCTCACCTTTCTGAGCCGCGGCCACTGCCGCCGTCGCAGCCGCGAGCAGGAGCCCGAACGCGAGGACCTGGGGGGGCGCCATGCTGCGCGCGGGCTGAGGAGGCGGACGCGAGGCGGGCCGGGGCTCGCGGGAGGGCGCACGGAACGACGAGGGCGCCGGGAGCCCGCTGGCGGGCCGGAAGACGCGAGGCGTGGGACGCGCGAGTCCGCGTCGAGAGGACCGTGACAAGATGCTCAGAGAACAGGCAGACGACACAAGCTCGCCGAAGGACTGCGCACTCTGGGCGCGCGGCGGGGCGGAGCGGACCAGCCGGACCTGGCGGCCCCGCCTCCCGGCGCCGGCTGGGGGCTGCTCACCTCTGCCCGCCAGTTCTCAGCGATGAGTCACCGCCCGGGGTTGGGGGGATGGGGGAGAGGGCGGGAAGGGCGCAGATTCCCCTCCCCCACACCTGCGCGGCCGCCGAGGCACCACCTCCTCCCCAGGTGTGCGCCCCGCCCCGAGCGGCCACCTGGTGCTTCCTCCTGCGGTGGCCGGTGGGGGCGGGAAAGATAATGGGCTGGTGACAGCCTGCAGGGCCCCTTGGTGGTCACGGAGTGGGTTTGAAAATACTGAGACTCTCTTTTACCGGAGGGAGCACGACTCGAAAACCTTGAAGAAATGGAGCCCGGAGGAAAGAGGCGGCTGGGAAGAGTAACGTGGAAACTAAGATGAAATACAAAGAGAAGGGGAGAACCGTCGAACCACAATAAAAAGGCGACCTTTGATCTTTACCTGGCAGTTTAATTGTACTCCTTTGAAACTAGAAAATCTCCCTCGCTTTCAGAGGATGACAAATTCTTGTGTTCATTATAATTATGCTCAATAATTCTTTCTCCCTTTTTAAAATTAGCATTTTTAGCCCCAAAAGATATAAGGTGTTTCCATTGAGCCAAATGCTGGGAACTAAGACTCTTCCAGTTTTGATTAATATTAGAGAACAATATTGGTTTTGAAAATATAAGGAAGTAGAATTGAAGGACAATTTACTTTAGTGCCAATGAATTCAAATCACAACACGCTTTTATTACAGTCAAAATCATTGTAATGACTGGAAGCATTTAATAACTTACAGTGTTGTCTAATTTTTAGCTGTGAAATTAGCTGTAATCTTTTAAAAAGGCTTTTTTTTTCTGCTTAAGAAGCCGTTAGAGTAAGAATTAGAGGAAAGGTGGAAAAGCAATTTTAAGATTCACCTAAATTTGATTAATTTTTTCAAGTATATATCCAGTCAAAAATTATGCTTTTCTTGAGCAATCATTTAAGTGTGCTGTACTCTCCGGTTGCAGGTTGATTAATGTAAATAATCACATTATTAACGGTAAGTCCCTGTATAATTTGAATTTTGCCTGAACGTTAACTAAGCTATTTATCTTATTATTGACATCTTAAGGAAATCCTATCACTGTTTTAAATCTGTAAATTTGAATTGCTAGACCTAGTTCTGGAACTTTGTGATCTGTTCAGCAATTTAAGAGAAAATAATACTATCAAATCAGGAGTAAGTAATCAACCAGATTTTTGATGTCTTCTGCATTCTGGGTGCTTTCAGGAAGTTGCGCACTGCCAGCCTAAAACTACACATACTTTTTCCAAGAATAATCTAACTGGTTATTGTGGCTTTATTTGCAAAATGTTCCATTGCCAGGTCTATTATCTGTTACCTAATTAAGAAGAACTTCATCTTCATATAAACTTGAGAGCTGTTTATTAAATTGTTGGTTGCAATAAAGTGAATTGAGTAAACATGATTATTAAATAAATGACAAAATACCACACTAAGCTCTGACTCATAGTATCTGAGTATACATCCAAGACATTTATTTTTATAGCTCTTTAACACCTGCTCATCTGTCACTCACTGCTCAAAATTACTCTCATTTTATGTGATGATATTGTGAATCTTTCATAGTTTCAGTGCTATATTTAAGAACATTTCTTAATAATTTTGTAAGATTACATACCCAAGTATATTCCTAAAATTATCACCAAATTTTTTAGACGTTGCTTTTTAATTCTGACAATCGTTTAATATGTATTTGACTAATACATATGACAAGATTAAAAACTATAAACTTTTCTGACCAATGTCTTGCAGCCCATCAATTAAGAACTCAATTAAAAAGGCAATATCAAAGCCAAAGAATGGATGGAAAGAAGAGAAACTAGTTAAAATATAAAGAGTAGTGCAAAGCATTAATTGATAGGATAAGGATTTTGGTTATGATCTTTCTCTTGAATGTTAAGGAATATTTCTAAATCTAACTCAACATTAAATATAAACAGTATTGGAGAAAAGTTAGGATCATGTTCCTTAAGAAACAATTAGGGGTTCTATTTAAGAAAATTACTTAGTCAACATCCTATATTACAGTTTCTTCACGTAGATTTCATAGCGACAGACACGGGGAGAGAGGAATATGTAAAATTTAATGAAAATTTAAATGAGATAAATGTTATTCTTGTAGATGGCTAAAGGAAAATGTAATGTGTAAACATTTACTATAATGGGCTAATAGTCCTAAAAATTTTTATTATTTCATGAGTAGAAAATAAAAGTACTTTATACAGAATGAAGAATGAAAGTTCTTGACCACTACCCAACAAGACCCTTTGTCTCCTAGATAATCATTGTTAACAGTTTGATATTCATGCTACCTGTTCATTAATTCTTCTCATATCCTAAGGAACCTGTTTTCATAGGATGTACTCTCTGCAGAGTGGGGGCTATTATTTACTTGGGTTTAGGTTTATAAAAATGGTTTACATTTGCATATTCAGAGTCCACCTTAATATATATATGTGATTTTTATCATGTCACTTTATCCGTCATTAAAAATTAACTTTCTAAAAGCAAAACTTCTAACCCCTTAACCACAAGAAAACTCTTTTTCATATCTTTCTACATGTGAAATTCTTACATAAAATATAAAGCACTACATAATAAGCACTTAATATTCTGTTTAGTACATTAATATGTAGATGCTTATTAATACCTATTATCATTAAAAATAATACAGTAATTGTTAGAAATGCATGTACATCCAGGCTGACAGCCAGAAAGGAACCAGGACCTCAGCCCGACAACCACAGGATCTGAATTAGACCAACAACCGAAATCAGCTTATTAACAGATTCTTCTTCCCCAGAGCCTCCAATAAGAAACAAAGCCCTGCTGACACCTTGATTTCAACATTTTGAGACCTGAAGGAGAGTTCCTTGCCAAGCCCACCAGACTTCTGACTACAGAACTGCGAGATCATAAATGGGTATTGTTTTAAGCTTCAAAAAAGAAAGAAAGAAAGAAATGTGTGTACATAGTATAAAAGGCAAATAATACCATAAAGTTTAAAATGAAAATTGGGAGCTCGCTTCCCCATCCTGATTCCTGTTTCTCCAGAAACAACCACTTTCTTCAGCTGTTCCTCCCACCCCAATTTCACATGGTATTTATTCACTTCCTACTGTAGAAGATAGTTCTTCTTCTCTTACAAAGGTCTTTTTCCACAGCTCCCCATCATTGCTTATGTGGAAATCATCCCACTTCTTGGCTTCTCCTCACTGATTTCTTCTAGAACTTTTATAGTTTTAGCTTTTAAGTTTAGATCTATGATCCATTTCAAGTTAATTTTTGTGTATGACATAAGAGTTAAGGTATCAGTAGTTTTTTAACCCACATGTCTGGCTAGTTGTTTCAGCACCATATGATGAAAAGACTACCCTTTCTGCACGGAATTACTTTGCCACTTGTGAAAATTAATAAGCAGTAATCTCACTTAAAATGGAATCCAGAGGTTAGAAGAGAGAACTCTCACGCACTTATCACTCAACCCACACTACTGACCACAACAGGAAGAGACATACCTTGTCTCTTGGATAGAAGTAGTTATTAC